CTGAAGGTGATACTATTGATCTCCATAAGGTCCACTTTTGAATGTGAAATAAGATGTAAGCAAGCAACAAAATAACTCAGAAAAAAGCAAATATCCCATACTTACACAGTTTATATGGTCAAAGATGAATTCCTGAGCTGCTACTTTCTCAGAGAACTCAAACAGCTGGATCTGGCGTGCCCGAGCATAGGGGAAGATGTTGTAAAGGAGACATTAATTATTATCAAAAAGCTGAGCTTTTTAATCCAGTGTTTCCTTTAGACAAATGAAAGAATAATGCAAGAGTCTACTCTGCCCCTTCCTAAACTGAGAAGTTCAGCTCGATACAAAGAGTTAGAGGCACAGCTTTACATTAACTGGTTTCTCCTTTTTGCAGGAGAAGAAAGATCAGCCTTTAATGAAAGGGAAGAGAAGCCTCTGGACTCACCTAAAGCCTCTACGAAGAGGCAGAAGTATCTTAAAGGCTCCAGCTGGGACGTGGGTCTAAAGTGCTCACAATTTGTGGTGCGCCGTAAGTTAGGGAACAGGTTTATGAGATTTTATATTTCTTGTTTTTAAAAATTTCAGGCCAGGTCTTTAAAGAAAATTTCAGGTCTTTAAAGAAAATCCTGTCTGCAGAACGTGTTTTTGTACTCGCTTTGTAGTCTCCGCTTGGCATAACATGGATGTCTGTGGTGACGAGGCAGATAACGGCTCTCACACCTCCTCCTGCTGCCCACAGGGTGTCTGCCAGGGCCACGGCCAGCGCCTCCCCTTGCTCCTGCCGGCTTATCCTGCAGAGCCTGGAGGGCAAGAGACAGGGACATGGGGCAGGGATGCTGGGGGCCGGGGGGTTGGGGAAGGTCTGTGTTGAGGGTCCGTCCTCGCGGATGCTGAGAGCCCCCCAACCCTGAGGCTGAACCCAAGTGAAACGGGCCCCTTGCCAGCTGAGGGCTGGATCGGACCCCAGAGGTCCTGCCCCGCCTGAGTTATCTGGTGGCTGTGAGGACTGTGCAGGCATAACAAGTGGGAATGCAAAGATGCAAGGGGATTTGTGCAGAAGGCAGCTGTGCCCATCTTCCCTGAAATTTCCACTTTTCACTTGGTGCCATTGCTGCTGCTGGTGCGGACATGCTTCCCGTGTGCTGGGAGCGATGTGTCTGCTGTGGGGGCTTTCATCCTGGCTGGGGCTGCCGCGTGGGTGTCCCTGGCACCAAGGGCTGAGCTCTGCCTTCCCCTTCCCAACGCTGTCCACAGCACGCTCGGCACCCAGAGCCAACGTTGGCTGGCAGCCTGGTGAACATCCATGCAGCGCCGATGCTGCGCAAGCGCTGCCGGCAGGCTGTGAACACAGCACCAGGGAGTGGGACAAGGAAGCAAGCGCCACTATTACAAAACCAAATGATTTGGTGGGAAAAAGCCTTGCCTGGGAGTCAGACAAGGCTTTTCTCCTGGGTGCAAATCTCCATCTGTAGCTGCAAACCTGAAACTGGGTCTAGTTCGGTTAAACCTAGACGTTGGCGCTAGTCTGTCTTAGTCCAAATAATGCAAGGAAATAGTTTCCATGTGTCCTGTGGGAAGGCTCAGCTTCTTACCTTTCCAGGTGAGTATATTCCGTGTTTCTTACGAAGAGCAGGTATTTAATGATGTGCGCTTGTACAGCCATCAGAATGGCTCTTGTTCCCCCCTAGAAACAGAAAGACAACACTTTCCAGTGCTGAACTAGCATGTGCGATGTCAATCTCCTGGAAATCACAGCAGTCCCTGGCCAGTCTAAGCCATCCTGCTGACAGTATCAGGGGGGTAATTTTTTTTTCCCCTGGGAATTCAGGAGTGCTGCTGACAACTCCTGAGCTAAATGGAAAAGTAAATTGAAAAAGATCTTATGTGCCCAAAACCAAGAAGCCTTTATGCAAGAAAAGACTCCAGAGTGGCCCTGGCTGCGTGCTCATGTGGAGGGGAGGTCCCGGGCAGGGGTCTCTCCCTTGCAGCGCTGCAGCTGCAGGGAAGGGCTCTGAGCTGCAGGTACCACGTATGCCTAGAATCACCATGGCTTATTTTTTCTCTCCTCCAGCCTTGCAGCAAAGGGACCAGGGTCTTGAGGCAGCGTGGGGCTGACGTGGGACCATGCACGAGGGTGACCATGCCCAGTTCTCAGCCGTGCTGTCTGCACACGTCAGGGCTGTCGTCCTCTCTGCAGTCACAGAGCCTCTGAACTCAGGGAGTTTCACCTGCATTTGTAAAAAGCATTTTAGTCTCCTGGGGGGTTAAAGGGATTTGCAATTTTAAGTGTGTATCTTGGTCTTCTGCTTTTTTGGGGACAGTATTATGATGGTAAATAAGAAAGAAGAAAACCTCCTTTCAGTAAATGAAAATGTAGGTAAATTCACCTATTTGATTTCCAGGTGGGGCAGTAAGAAGAAGGTAACTCTAATTCCCAAAAGAGAAACAGGCAAGTACCATTCATTTGTGCCCACCTACAACAACCTGCTGCTTCTCACTTGAGCCTTCACTTTGGAAGCATTTAACACCGTGGTATTTAAAGTTTGTGTCTGCAGCGTGCTGCTGATCAGGACAGCTCATCCCACTTCCAGACACGCTTCAGTGTCTCCACTGCGAGGGCAGCTGGAGCTTTGCTCAGGACAGCTGTGGAGCGTGGCTGCGGCTGGAAGCCCCTGCAACCTGCCCTGTGGAGAAAGCTCAGCTGGGCAGGCATGCAGAGCACAGGGTGCAGGTGTGCAGAGCGTGGGGTGCAAGCGTGGGGTGCAGGCGTGCAGAGCATAGGGTGCAGGCATGGGGTGCAGGCGTGCAGAGTATGGGGAGCAGGCATGTGCACCACCGAGGCACCCAGCGCTGGCTGCCGGCTCCTGCAAGTGGCTGAGATTCTGGGGAGACGGTGCCCGTCGCTGCGCCAAAACATTTACCTTTTCTGCCTCCAAAGCATAGGCCAGGTCAGAGTATGGCTCGCGAAACCTGAAGTACGCTTTTGCCCATTCGGAGCTGAAGAGGTTGAACACATTTCCAAATAGCAGTTTTCGCAGACCCTGTGGAGGAGGAGAAAGATGGGCTGGGTTCAGTTCCCTTCATATCCTAGCGTCGTGGAGGATCTTTAACGTCAGAGGGGCCTCGGGATACAGGTTCAGCGTGTGTGCTCACAGACAGAGCCGTGTAAAATTGTCTACTGAGAATCAGGCCCCATAATTTCAAAGCAAAGATGATGTTTGTGGTTAATGCAGTGACTGACTTCACTCAGCATTCAACCACTCCTGCGAAGTACAGTTGCAGTGTGTAAATAATTTACATTCGGATACACTGCACCTTTTGGGGGAAGACCTGGGCAAGGCGCTTGCCATCATCAGTGGCACCTCTGGGGACAGAATTCAACATCTACATTTGCCTGTGCAAACCCCCTATAAAGCGCTTGTGCAGCAGTGGCCAGGGGGGCGCAGCGCTGGTGGGAAGCAGAGGAGGGTTCATCTGTGGCCTCCGCCTTGGAGGGCAGGCCTGGCCAAGCGTGGCCTGGACCCGTCCAGGCACATGCAGTCAGCTTTTGGGTTGGCAGCTGAACTAAAAGAGAAAGTTCAAAAAAACATGTGGCTTCCACCTAAAATAGATATGCTTGCAATCTCTAACTGTATCGGTGAGTTTCATTTATGGTAATTTTTAACACAAGCACATTGCCACAAGGCCAGGTGGGTGCTGTTCACCAGGGGGGCAGTGGGGGGTGATGGCCCCAGCTGCTCCCTTCCTTCTCCCGTGTTGGGTGCTGCGAGGGACCTGCCTGGGCGCGGGTGGCCAGGGGGAGTGAACCTGCCTCCTGGCCTCACCCTGCACCACCCCCAGTCTGTAGATGCTGCCTGGGCCCACCTGGAATGTTTTTCCTAATTAATTTTAATTTTGGTGAATGATGTATTTTGCTGAGCAAAGTAAACAAAACATACATCATGGCTCTTCCCATTAAAAATTGCTCACCGCTGATCTGGGTGATTTGTGCAAGCGGGTCATGAACTGGAGAAGATGGATTCACGTGAAGTTGACAGTAAGTGCGGTTATGTAGCTAAATCTCTTCAGGACTGGACATTTTTCAGATGTCTGTTCAGTAATGCAGCCCTGGCCAGGTTTTCACCTCTGGTATTAAGCCTTGGAGCTTCTCATTAAGTTTGTGCTCAAGTGACAGGGGACTGGTTTGGTGTGGGAGGTCACGGGCGGTAAGGCCGGCAGTAGAGACGATTCTGCCATCACCCGCAGAAATCCCCCAAGCTTCTGGTGAAGGCTCTTCATATGGGCAGGGGCAGTAGGCACCCGTCATTAGTGCTCTCAAAACCAGGTATTTGGGTGAGAGTAGAAATACCTTACTGATCTCCTGAACTTCTGCCTGCTGTTCTGAGGCTGTTTGCTAGGAAAGCACCAAAGAGCCGGGAAACATTACACTTTGTCATTTGACCTATTATCTAATGAGAATTATAGTATATCAGTTTTAAGGTTGTGTTGCAACCATGTTCTTTAAAAGTCTTGTAAATAAATCATTACAATTATATACTTCTGTTACAGCTAACAGCAGGCTGCAGCCTTCAGCCCAGCAATACGCTGAGCCTCCCGTAACGCCAGGTAAGGTTCCCGAGTCTCTTTCTTTTAACGAGATTAAATTACAGCTCATGCTTAATTCAGCAGGCCTGCTCACCATTGCCATTTCCAAGGAGATGGGACGGCCGCCCGTGTCTGGAGAGAGCAGGAGGGGCTTGGGGATGGCAGAGCAGGGGTGAGGTGCCGGCGGCTGTGGCCCCACGGGCTCTCCAGCTCCAGGTGCTCCATCGCCAGCGCTGACCCGGCGCCGCTGGACAGAGAGAGGAGCAGACGGTACATCATCCCACGGCTGCTGCCTCGCGTGTGCCAAAAGTTAACCCCCCCCCCAGTATTCCCAGTGGGGTGGGCACAACGACTCGGCGATGAGCTTACAGAGGGGCAGGGGGGACAGGATGCATGCTGTCAGGGAGCGCTGGTGTGTTTGACTTCCAGCTTTCTTCAAACATTACAAATACGTCCCTACAAGCTGACGACTGGAGTATAAAGTAATGTTGTGTTTGTCTGAATTACAGGGAATAAACCTCAGTGCTTTTCAACCTAAAGACACAGCAGGTTTTCCAGACACTTATATTTTAGAAATCTTAATTTGCTATCCTTTTTTCCTGTGTTCTAAAACTGACCATGAAAACTGTTACTTTTAGACAGAAAGGTTAATTTATGTTGGACTACTCTGCTGCTTTGATTTAGATCAGGAAGACATTCCTTTAAAATATCTGAAGAAAATGCATGTTTCTTAAAGGAGGAGAAATAAATCTCCATAAAGATTGTCTGCATATATAGATGTGTGATTTCCTCAATATGCTAACCTGGTGGAATAGTTGCAAAAAACACTAGACAAATACAACATGTTGCCTTTTAGAGAAACAGTTACCTGATGAGTTGTCCTGCTGATTTCCAAACTGAAAAGGGAAAATAAATACAAATTAAAAGAAACAACAAAGGCATTGCTAACATATGAAGAAACAGGAGGCCAGCCAGAAAAGAGCCCCAAAAGAAAGGAAGAGTAAAAGCTGTAGTGCTTGCATTACTGAGTACATGAAGACCTTTTCCCATGGTCACATAAGTATTGTAATAAAACATAACTTAAAAAATGATATTAAAAAAACACCTGGAATTAAAAATGCTATAATGAAGCAGAATAAAAATCTTACCCGTGGAAACTAAAAATTTCTCTCCATTTGTTTAGATCTGAAATTTTGCTGGTGATCTCCTCTAGCTCTGTCCATGGCATTGTGCGCTCAGCCTCCTGGTCACCCATCTGCAGCTGCCCGCGCTCCGGGCGATGCTGAGGGATGCGGGCACTGGGACTGCTCGGAAAGCGGCTCCCCCCAGACCCACGCCTCTGTGAGGCACCCGAATCCCTTCTGCCTGTCACCCCCTGGGGCTCAGCTCCCACCGTCACACTGTGATTAAACTTTCATGAGAGCCCGTCATAGTCTGTGTTTTTCTGTTTGCTGTATAAGCAGCATGAATGTTTTATGCCAGACACAGAGCTGTATGAAGCTGACTGCAGCTATGTGTCTGCACTGTAAGGGCTGGCTCCAGGCGTGGTGTGGTGCAGGAGCAGGGGATATTTTCCGGCTGCAGGGCTGCAGCTCCCTCTGTGTGGGCTGACAACAAGCAGGATGGAGTCTGGGCTGCGAGGGCTGGGTGGGAAGTGTGTAGCTCAAGGGAAAAAAAAAAAGCAGACTTAGCAGATGTCTGTAAAGTTGAGCAAATTTGCTGGGGAGATGAGCTGGAGAAAGGCAAAAATCCGTGCAGTGATGTTCCCTTGACTTCTGCCACTTGCTGTAGCAAGGCTGTCATGCAGGCGCACAGGTCAGGCACTGCATAGCTGAGCAGGGGGAAACCCACTGGTTTTGTGCTGCCGGGGTCATGGAAATCTCGTGGTTTGTTTTCTTCTCTTTCAGTCTGTGAGAACACACTGACTGGGGGTATCTGTCTAAGTTTCGGTGGAAAAAATGTGAGGTTGAGCTGATGTTAATGAGATGAGCCTGACTTCCCGTGGCGCAATGGGAAGCTGCTCTAGGTTTTCCCAGGTGTGCCTAAGCTCGGCCTGTCCGGGGCAGCCATACAGTCCAGCTCTGACGGCTTTGCATTCTCTGCAGGGTCATTTGGAACAGCTTGGCTCAAATCTTGGTTCATGAAAATGCAAACTATCTGGGCCAGCCTGCATGTGAGACATGAAATGCCCATTTTTTTCTTCCAGCTGAAGGACCCGTGGCTTTACTTGGCAAAAAAAGCTGCTCTCTTTTTTGGTGTGACACGAGCTCCAGTCTTTTGGCTTCCTAAAAACTGACAAAAAATCCCTTTGCCTCTATTGGAGTAGCTCTTCCTTATAGAAAGGGTAGAGTATCCACCAGGTTCCCAGCAAATTGAGTGTGAACCACGCATTTCTGCTTGGGAGAAGGCTGGGGAAGAGCCAGGTGGGAGCATTGTGCTGAGTCTGCTGGGGCGAGCACCACCTTGTGCTCATGGGGCGAGAGCTTTCGCACAGAAAACTCCCCCATGCGCAGGGGAGGCTTTGCGGCAGCAGCTCTGCACCACTGCGCTACCAAAGTCGTGGCTGCCAGAGTGCTTATACATGGGGATAATAAAACAAAGTTAGGGCTAACCTGTTCTTCTCACTCGCGTGTTCCCAGGTGTGGGGAGCAGAGGACAATTCCCACTGCAGTCAATGGGAGTTGGGTTCTTGAGCCCTAAGAATTGAATTTGGTTTGAAAGAAAGGTGCCCCTTAGGAGCTGGTCTGTAACGGCAAAGTGTACTCTACTGAGTGCATCTCTGCTTCATTTAATTGCCTCCCTAGGATGCATGCAGGCACAAAAGGAGTTTGACCTGGAAAATCAGCCAGTCAGTCCTTCCCTCTCCGATAAACACTGGCTTATCTCATGAGTTGATTCGTTATTAGCTCTTGTCATTTCTTCAGAGTTTTGACATAAGGAGACTAGATTTACCTATGGATTTGTAAATAGAATAAAATAGATCAAATTTACTCCACGTTTGTAAGTAAACTGGGATGGAGCAGACTGACGCAAACCAGGCTGTCTCTTTTCAGGGATTAGAAATCAGGGTGTGGGATAAGCTGCCTTTCCAGATTTGGAGAGTTCACCAAATTTGGGTACTTTATGGCAGAGGAGCATGAACCTGGCTCTGTAGAACTGGCCATCGCTGGGACCAGCCCCTGAGAAATGGGTGGAAGTGTCATTACCCATCTCTCCCTCACCGTGCAGACACCTTCCCAGCGAGCTGTGCCCTTTTGGAGACATCAGGTAAAACATCAGAGCAGTTGCTGTGGTGGGGAACAGTGTCCTGTACGCCGCTCCTGTGTTTTCCATCAGGAATGGCATCATCCTGTCAATAATGTGCTTGACATTGTGTCTTTCCGCAGAATGCCGGACTGAAATGTGGTTTTGCCCATCAAGTCCACATAACTTTCGGTGCTGGTGGTGATGACAAATTCAGGCACCAGGACAGCAAACAGCCCAGGACCTGGCTGCAGGAGGCAGAAATCCCCTGCCTGGTTCAG